CTTAAATTGGTTTTGATGCCAGCAGAGTGAGAAAATGCCAGAGGCTCTGGGTGGGTGCCCCATCGTAAATGCACCAAACAATTCCTAAAGATTTTCCAAAACACTACTCTGTCAATAAATTGCAACACTTTGAATTAGCACAAAAGCTTTAAGAGCTCTCCAGCTGTCACCTGGAGACTGGCAACAGCTTGTTTGGAGGGTGGGGTCTATGGCGTATCTGTCTGAGGTCCCCCTCTTCCTCCTCAGACCCCACCCTCAGCAGGCTTCATCCCTAAAATATCCTGGAAGTTTCCAACCTGGAGTTGGCAACCCTATGTCCTTTCCAGGCAACCCCCCCAGCCTCAGAAAGGGCAGTCTTTCCCTGCAGTGGGAACCAAAGCAGCTGACATCATTCTCCTCTCCCTCATATGATCCACACAACTATTCTATGAGGTATGTTAAGGTTGAAAGTGTGTGAATGGTCCATAATTCCCCAGGCTGCTTTTAAAACATGAACCTGGGACCTGCACACCATCCTCTGAAGCGCTCTCTGTGGCAGTAATGGGGTGACTGCTGGCACCTTTTCCTATCATTTTTTGCCTTGTGGTATTCTGCTTGTGGTGTGATCTGTCTTCTTTGTGATGTGGCATGATTGTGTTATTGGGTTTGTTTCTTTTGAAGGGGAAGTGATGTGTTGTGAGTGAGGACATATTTTACCTCAGAATACAGTAGGTTCCATATGTAACTGACAATTCCAACTGCCTTGTGGGGGGGGGAGTTTGAGGTGTGGAATGGAGTGAAGTCAAATCAGCTTCCATATGCAAAAGACCTTGAAACGATGGGCGGGACTGCACAGAGCAGCCAGTCAACCCAGCCAGTGTCTTCTGACTGACAGTTCTTGCGGCCAAACACTAAAGGTGTGCATTTGGAACGTTGGAGCCCACTACGGCTTTAGATATAAGGGAGAGATATCAGAGCATTTTGAAGGCAAGTTCATCCCAACAAGCATAAATACATAAGAGGAGTCCTGCTGGATCATACTAGTGGTCTTTCTAGTCCAGCATCCTGTCTCACACAGTGGCCAACTAGTTCCTCTGGAGGTCCAACAACAGGACATAGAGGCTAAGGCCTTCCCCTGATGTTGCTTCCATGCACTGGAATTCAGAGGTTGACCACCTCTGAACATGGAGGTTCCCTTTAGCTACTACCATGGCTAGTAGCCACTGATAGACCTATCCTCCATCAAATTTTTCCTTTAAAGCTGTCTATGTCTGTGGCCATCACCACATCCTCTGGCAGCAAATTCCACATTTTAATCACTTGCTGTGTAAGGAGTTTTCCTTTTATTCATCCTGAATCTACTGCCCATCAGCTTCACTGGATGCCCTTGAGTTCTAGTATTTTGGGAGAGGAAGAAAAGTTCTCTTTGTCAACTCTCTCCAGCCCGTGCATAATTTCATAAACCTCTACCATGTCCCCTCTTAGTTGTCTTTTTTCTAAACTGAAAAGGTTCATCTGTTCAGCCTCTCCTCATAGGGAAGGTGCTCCAGCCCCCTGATAATCTTGGTTACCTTCTTCTGTACTTTTTCCAGCTCTGCGATGTCTTTTTTTGAGATATAATGACCAGAACTGCCCACAGTATTCCAAATGAGGCTGCACCATAGATCTGTACATGGACATTATAATATCAGCTGTTATATTTTTCAATCCCTTTCCTAATCCCCACATAGTTTGCCTTTTTTACTGCCGCAGTACAATGGGTTGACACTTTCATTGAACTATCTACTACGGCCCCAAGGTCTTTTTCCTTCTCAGTTTCAGCAAGTTTAGACCCCATCAGCTTATACTTGAAGTTGGGACATTTTGTTCCAATATGTATCACTTTACACATACCAACATTGAGCTTCATTTGCCACATTGTTGTCCACTCACCCAATTTGTGGAGATCCTCCTGTAGCCCTTCACAGTCAACCTTGGTCTTCACCTTCCTGAATAAATTTGTGTCATCTGCAAACTTGGCACCCCAAGTTCCAGATCACTTATGAATAAATTAAATAGTTCTGGCCCCAATAGAGATTATTGTGGGACCCCCACTGCTTACTTCCCTCCGTTTGTGAACTGTCCGTTTATTCCTGCTCTTTACTTCCTGTCATTTAGCCAATTTTTAATCCATAAGAGAACCCATCCTCTTATCCCATGACTGCTAAGTTTACTCAGGAGTCTCTAGTGAGGTACCTTGTCAAAAACCTTTTGCAAGTCCAAGTATATAATGTCTGCTGAGTCACTGTTGTTTACATGCTTGTTCACCTTCTCAAAGAACTCCAAAAGGTTGGTGAGGCAGGACTTCCCCTTGCAGAAGCCGTGCTGATTTTCCCTCAGCTGGCTTTGTTTCTCCGTGTGCCTAATAATTCTGTGTTGTTGTTTTTGTGTGTGTGTGTTTTTAACCTACTTATTAAGAGGAAGTATAACATATCAAGAAATATAATAACTGCAAAGCAGTATACAACTGTCCTGAAAATCCAAAATTACAAACCAACCAGTTAGTCATCAATACAGATTTTTACAACATACATCAACAGTCACAACAAACTAAGTTAGAACTAAATCCGATCACCTATACATAGATGCTATGTGAGATATGAATCCCATAGAATTGAGTCAAGTTTAAAAGATAACATCTTCAGGAGTCTGCTACTCTGCTTCACAAGAGGAGTCTCGACAGTAAGGTGGAGGTCCGGTTAAACTCAAATAATTCTGTGTTTGATTACAGCTTCTACTAATTTGCCTGGGACAGATGTTAGGCTGACTGGCCTGTAATTTCCTGGCTCCCCTCTGTACCCCTTTTTAAAAACGAGTGTAAAATTTGCTACTCTCCAATCTTCAATACAGTGGCTGAATTTAGTGATAAATGACATATACAGGCTAGTAGTTACATATATAGTTTAGCAGACAGTACTGCCTTCATCGGATTCCTGGCGAGCCCTATTCTAAGTAGAAGCTCTCAGCTTTCTCTGCCTTAGTCTGTGTCCCTTCAGAATTCCAAACATATTTTCTGGCATTGTTGTGCACCTTCCACTTAGTTTGGGATGTCATCTAGTCCAAGCTTAGTGCATATCTTATTTTTTTAAAAAAACCTCGAAAGAGACCCAGTATCAGACCATTGCCTAACCATTAGCTCTTGTTAATGAGTCATGAACTGAGTGTGATATTCACATCTTCATTGCCTTTTTCAAGTGTCTGATAAAGTGGGGGTTTGCTCACAAAGTTTATACTGCAGTTGTTTTTGCTGAAATCTGTATTGTTTATGCTGAATCTGTATAGTTGATCATCTAAGGATGAAGTGTTTAGTCTGCAGTTTGTCTTTTAGCCCTAGAATCAGAACCATCTGATCAAGCACTACCCCTCAGTGTTTTTGTCTCAGATAAAAACTTGTGGTATTGTGTTGAATTAGAATATAAATACCTGGTGGGGCTTCTTTTTAATTCACAGACCTTGCATTAAGTAGTGACCATGAAAGGTTTCACAGGCCTCAAACCTGAGACAGGACTCTTCTTAGGAGTCAGGGACTACTTGACTACTTTTGTGTTCTATGTCCCTTCTTGTAGCAGCATTTTGTCGATTAGAATTGTGTGAACCAAACAGTACTCAAGATTTATGACTGGAAGGATGAATCTGAACCACTAATCTTTGGAAACAATTTGAACCACAAAATGCCCATGGCAAAACTTGGCTTTGCCTATAAACTTGTCTGGCCTCTGCTCCAAGGGAAGCAGCTGGTAA